TATGTGTATTATATGAGGCTCAAGGAAGAAGTGTCAGATATAAGCAGGTTCGTCCCATTCAGAGCTTTATAAGTCTATAAGACTAATTTAAACTAAATTTGCCAGGTAATAGGCAGTCTCCAAATGCCTAACATGCTGAATATGATCATGATAATTCAAAGCCTTGAGGTACTGTGCTGCTACAGCCTCAATAAGCTGTAAACAGCTTAACCTTAATAATAACAAGCAAAGAAGAAACTGCAAGAATAGCACGTCAAAGTTACAACACCATATTTAGATTCAAGGGTTTTAGGCTCTGATGTAGCATAGCATATAACAAGCATGCAACTCCAGTATCTTCCAGTGGAACTATTTATGTGTCTAAAACTATAGACATGCATAAGTATTTTGCTACGCTAAGTCCATGGTTTAAGTCCACCTCTCATTTATAGATAGCACAAAGCAAACTTGCTTTGAGGTGTGCAACATTCTTGCTTCTTTAAGACTGAAGGAATAGGGCATTTCATCATCATATTGTTATGCTCAGCAGCATCCCACTGGATTACATGTACAGATTGTATCACCCAGCCAGTTTTTGGTAGTTGGACTGTGGGTATTTTTCTGGGTTTTTTCCCCTGTAGTATAAGTCTTCCATAGATTATGAGAAGGTTCAGTGGGCCAAAGCAAGTATAACATGTTTGATAGTATGATAGTGCCTTGTGATCATGATCAGAACAGCAGGTGTTCCTATAGCAGTTTCTCCATTAGGATTACTGTATATTTCAGACTCTCACACTTCAGAGGCAGCAGCATATTCTTTATTTCAAGCATTAAGAAACTAAGGTACAGAAAGCTTAAAACATGGGGAAAGGAGAACTCCAGAGTTGTTACACTCAAATTTATAGATGGATAACTGAGTGCCAGTTACTACAACTATTAGACTTCTAGGTGTGATCCTATTCCATCCTGTTTGAGTCCCTGAAAATTCATGAATGCATCTGTTTTTGTATGTTGCTCAATGAAGCAGATCAGCTCTCTCATGATGTGTCATGGCACAGCTGTGCTGCTTCATTGGGCAAAATACGTGTTGCCCCTTGTCTCACCCATTGAGGCAGTAGGATAAGGGGCAATGTATTCTCCCAGGGCTTGAGGAGCCTGGTCCTGTGCACCCCAGGAATTCCTGGGCTGGATTGGGCCTCTGAAGCTCTGGGGGTGATTGCTCAGTGTCACAGGGCACTTAGGTGCCTGCTCCTAAAAGAGCAGAAACTACCCAGGAAGAGCCCAAAGAGCCAGACAGGAGCCCAGATGCAGGTTGCCATGGCAACCAGCTAATGAGGAAATTAGCCTGCACCTGGTCAGCTAGCCAGAAGGGGCAGGGCCCTGGGCCCATATAAACCTCAGGACGAGGACTAGGGAGGTAAGTTCTCTGCTGGTGGCCAAGGGAGAAGGAGCCTTCCTAGAGCAAGAGAAGGGAAGAGGCCTGACTAAGTTCTGCTCTGGGTAATGTAAAGGGGCCGAGCACACCTTATGTAGTTTGTGTTATGTTATAGCGCAGGGGCTTATGTTTTGTTTGCCATTTATAAGACCGGTGGTTTGGGTGAGGCTATTTGGGGAAGGAGGAGGCCTCATTGGGGGCCCACGGCAGTGTGGGGACCCCGGCACCAGAGAGGGCATGGCATTTGGGGGGCACAGACCCCGGCGCCAGAGAGGGCGTGGCACTTTGCGGTGTAGTGACAGGCTGCAGAAAGCCCAGTGCCAAGGGGCACAGTGACAGGGGGCACAGCGACAGGGGCTCCGGAGAGCCCAATGAGGACAAGGGGTCAAATTATAATGAGGCCTAGGCAAGACAACGCCAGTACCATCTGTTAGCCATACGTATAACCCATAAGACTAGGGTGCCCCCAAAACACCCATTGTGAAACAGGACCTACAAGGGGTCTGGGAACCCATGGAGTTCAGAGTCCATCAAACCATGTCCAAGAGGACTTAAAGGCAGCCTCCCTATTTTTATATTTCCATCAAAGATGTGGCGGGTGAGAACTGAGGGTGCCCATTGGGCCAAATTGGCACGGTCAAGGGGCCTTGGGACATCACGGCCGTCCTTGAGGATCCCATCCCATGTCACTCAGCTTTCTCCTCTTACTCAGGCATGTCCCCAGGATCTCTAGGGATGTGTCTGGGTAAACAGGGGAAGCTGGGAATGGGTCAGGGTAAGCAAGGAAACCTCAATTTTCCTTGCTTACCTAGACAGGTTCCTAGAGATCCCAGGGACAGGTCTGCCTAAGCAGATCCCAGTGTAGAGGCACAGGATGCTGGGGATTCCCTGGGTCCCCTGCCTCCATGCTAAGACCAATGCAGGCTTTCCCTTCTTACAGAGGTGTGCCCTTGATGATGCTAGGTAAGTCGGGCAGGTGCTCTGGGGCAGCAGTTAACTTTTTGCACCTTACATCCCACCTATGTAAGGTCAAAAAATCCTGGTCCCACTGGTTGATGAGTGAGGGGGAAGGGTCCCCCAGAGGCAGTTTTGCCACTGCGACCTGAGTCCCACCTAGAGGACCTTCATGTCCCACCAGTGTCCCACTGGCTGAGAAACCCTTCTCTGGGGGACTCAGGGGAATTCCCACAGTGTGTGGAGTCTGCAGAATTGGGCTCTTTAAACCCCCAGGACACCTGTTCCGGGCAGCATAAAAGTGTGAGCAGCACAGGATGTCTATTACACTGCAATAAAGTGGCACACTTTTTTTATTAGTACCTTTTGTTACACCGCTGATTCACCTGCAATGTTATGATGATGTGTAGAGACATGTATTTGATCACCATTTGTCTCTCCATAAACATTTTTATGGTGGTGCAAATGCAATGTCATGTGACATTTGTTTCTACCCCAAGTAAAAAAAACCCATAACTTTTGTATGAACAGTTTTTCAGGGACTCAAGCAGGGTGAAACAGAATCATGCTTAAGTGCCTAATGTTTAAAAATAACAGAAGATGAAGAATTGTGTAGGAGTGGTTAGGTCTAGTATCTAATTGTGTGGAGGCCACCCTATTCATCATTCCTCCCTCATCTAAAGTCTCCTGGCCAAACCTCACGTTCCCATGTAACTTCCTATATCCTTCTTTCCTGACACAGGTTTCAATGAATATTTTCCTTCCAACTTGACTTCAGATCCCAGCTAGCTGCAGCTTTGTTGACTTCACTGGTGAATCCTGGTAAATTTCCAGGCTATTGGACCCAAAGCATCCAATGAGATGTTTTTCTTTCTCACTGTTCCTGCTATTTTTAATAGGCATTCTAGACTGTTTTCAGCACAGTGCCCCACCCCTCCTTGCAATTGACCTATCTGGAAAGGTTAAAGGGAGATGGGTTGTTGAAAGGCAAACTAAGTATTCAGACAGAAGTAGCCAAAAGAATCCCGTTTAGGGGTAAGAAGATAAGATGCGACACTGGAGTAAATATTAAATAATCACCAGTATCTGTCATTTGAATAGGATACATATGAACCATCTCACTATATTGCTATAATCTTCTCTGAATGGAAAGGTAAGTCTTGTAAAGTGTGTGTGTGTGTGTGTGTGTGTGTGTGTGTGTGTGTGTGTGTGTGTATACACGTATAATTGTAGGTGGATCAGGGTCCTTCCCTCCAGGACTCATCCATTCTGAGAACCTGGGCAGTAAGCACAAGGATAGTATAAGAAGAGAGACTGCACAGCTGTGCTTTGTTTTCTAGCCAGTGTTTGATTTGTCCTTAGGAGCATATGTAGAGGGCCAGATTTTGCAGATGAGTTAATTTTCCTTTTGGGAATCACAATAAAGTGTTTTTTGTTTTTTTTTTCCCCCAAAGGAGCTCTCAGGATGCTGTGTGCAGAGTGCTCTTGAAAATCTGTCTGTTAAGTTTCTTCAGGGAAATTGCTGGTTATGAATTCTGTTGTAAATCTGGCCTTACTTATATGGCTGAGTAGGAGCTGAGTACTTGAAAGTCTGACTGTATTTGGCTGCATACAAGATGTAAGTGATAGGCAACACTGGTTACCAGAACTTGGAGAACCGGTTTCATTTAGACTGATATCATTAAATACAAGTAGCTTTTTTTAGGGCTGTTGAGATTCAGACGTGCTGTCTATTACTGACAGCAAAGCAGATAGGTACTAAGAACTGAAGGACATCAGAACGAAAACAGCCCCGCATCTAATGCTTTTGACATAGTTAGCTTTAACAGGGATGACTTGTAATCAAGCAGAGATGAAAAGCTCAAAGAGCTGTAAACACATGGAAAGTTTGCTTTTAAACATAACATGGTTCATTTTGGTAAGGGAAGCTAATGTGCTCACATTAGGACACCTTCCTGATTCTAATTAACTTAAAAAATGGTGTTCCACTTCATATGATGTGTATGATTTTTTTGAGCGAATATAAAATGCAGACTGTGGAATGGTGGGGAACTAATTCTATCAATTTTTGCCCTCATGTCCTATTAAAGCAATGAAGATATTCATATAAAAACCAATGAGTTATGTATGACTAGAATTTGATCTTATCTTTGCTCAGATTAGAGTGTTTGCTATAATTATTAATCTGGATATTGGGTACATTATGTTGGATATATGTGCATTCTTGTGTCCATTAGATAACTGATTTATTCTTATTTAGGTAAAGGATTGTTCCAGCTTGATAAGGAAATAAATGTCAAGGATAGCCTATGGAATGGCATTTTTTTCCTGAAGGTCCTAATTTGTTTTTACTCTGGTGACCAGTTAAGGCCATATGTTTGTTTAAAAGAGGCCATGTTTATTGATGTTTGTTATTCTTATTCAGTGGAGTCCCCTGTGGTTCGGCATCCTTGGTAGAACCTCTGTCTACCACACAGAAGACCTGGGTTCAATTCCCAGACACTTATACAACTACAGCCACGGATGCAGCAAACATCTGGACTCAGTCTGGTCTTTGGATTCTGTCTCAGTGGCCTAAAGGGAGGATGGAAGGTCTGGGCAGCCTCCACTCCTCCAAAAATTCCTCCCTAGGCATACACATCAAAGGTCTGGGTGGCCCTCATACATGCACCATGCTCCAGGAGGGTTGATGGTTGCCACATCCTTATTCAGTTACTTGAATAACTCTTCTCCTGAATTTTTGTCTTGGTCTTTCCTTGAAGGCTAGGTGTTCTGCAAGTAAATAATGAATAGGACAAGAAATGTGTTAACTATGGTCAGGTGCAAATCTCTACCTTTTTTGTGTCTTTTTTTTGCCTCCACATACCAAGGCAGCTTTTAAGAGAACACTAGATCCTCTGGGAATGATACAGATGGAGGCTATCTGATCATGGATTTGCTTTCCTAGAATTGCTTTTGGGAATTTGGTTAGCCAAATACGTTTCTTCTAACACTGAATGTCAAAGGTAGGTGGAGATCTAGTCAGGGGGGATCAACAGGCACTGGGGGAGTCCCTGTTCCCCTAGGAGCCGCCAGGAGTGACCAGGAATAACGGTCACAAGCTGGTGGAGGGAAGGTTTAAGTTGGACATCAGGAAGCGCTACTTCACGGTCAGGGTGGCTAGGGTCTGGAACCAGCTTCCAAGTGAGGTGGTGCAGGCTCCCACCCTGGGGGTTTTTAAGAGGAGGTTAGATGACCATCTTGCTGGGGTCGTTTGACCCCCAGTACTCTTTCCTGCCATGGCAGGGGGTTGGACTAGATGATCTGCCCAGGTCCCTTCCGACCCTAGAAACTATGAAACTATGAGAGGCAATCAAACAGCGTGATGTTATTCAATATGAGTAAGGCTTGGAGAACTAACAACAAGCCTTGCTCATAACGGGCATGGACAATTTAAAAGCATTACAGTAGAGGAATACATTCACAGAGGAAAAAGGAATATGGAACTAGGGTACCTTGTTTCTAATACATTGACTTTTGGGTAAAGGTGGCCAGGATATTTTCTCCACCTTGTGAAAAACAAAAATAAAGACAAAACCCCTGTTCCCATTTAGATTCAACTAAGACCTTTTGATATTTTTCAAGAACAAAGATCCATCCCAGAATAACCACTAGTTTTGTGATCAGTGAACTCACCAGCGCTATGAGAGAGCTAGGGTCAAACCTGATAGGTACTGTAGAATTGGTTGTTCTCTCTCTCTCTGATTCTTGACAAAGGGTTTGCTAAAGCTGATACAAAACAAGTCCAACAGGGAAGAATGCTATTTAGACACTGAACATCTTAGGGGTCCTCAAAATATTTTCCCAAGATCTTTGATATAAAATGCAACTGTTATTTAGCACTTTTGCATGTGGTGCTATAAAGCTTAAGTTACCAATGTCTGCAAAGTGCTTTGAGATCTGTAGACCTGAAGAAAAATGTCATGCATTCAAAGGCATCCCAACTATATAGTTAGTTTAATAAAAGATATCACCCCAAGAAACCCTTGCTTTTCGCATTGAAATCCTTAGGTAAATTAACAGATTTAAGTGAAAAATTTTAAAATAAGGCAGGTGACAAAGAAAAACCCTTATCTGACGCATGCTGTTATAGCTTAAGGATAGGGTTGCATGCTGATTGAAGTATGAGTTTTGTAACTAATGATGATAAAATCAGATCCTAAATTATCCAAAATACTGGCTACACGGTGGCAGGAGAGGATGAGTCATGCAAACAGACAGCATTACAGTAGCCTGTTCTGAGACCTGTTCTAAATCTAACCATACGTTTACATGGTTCCCTCCTTTATCATAATTAGAAGATTTTTTGCAATAACTTTAAAATTTTAATTATTTAATAAGTGTTTAGAAACACCATTTGAAGTTAATTGGTGTTTTGGGGAGTAGGGTATTACTACACTTTTGCAGTACAGTCAACATATGGAATCTGCAGTTGCAGGACATCTATCTTAAATTTTTATATTGATGCTCGGTGTCATAATATCTAGGACTCCTAGAGATATGCAGGGAGCCTGCTCCGATGCCCTGGAAATCCAGCGCATCCCAGAGCATGGAAATTGATGCTCTCCGGCATCCTTCCATGTCACGTGTATCAGCATCCCCATGTATCCCTGTGCTGATTAAATGCTGGCAAGGCGCTTTGAAATAAAACATGTTTGATAAGCTTTTGTTCAAAGTGCCCCACTGCCATTTTTTCAGTGTGGAGACACTGAGACATGCGATGCACAGGCACTTTTAATTAGCATGGTTTACTAACTAAAGCACCTGGTGCCATGTCCCAGAGCACGTGTAAAACTGTGACTCAGATGTTCTGGCTGGATATTAAAGGATCTATTTTTAACTCTCTCTAATTTTATGGTGGCATAGTTGATATAGTTATGGCAAACCTGATGGGTTATGTTAATTGTCAGCATGTCCGTCCTGGGGACCTGCTTTTCCCGCAATTCTCTCCTGCCACGACTTGATCTTAATACAAAATTTGGGGGAGGAAGAGTTATTATGTGCCGGTACCCGCGGTAAGGAACATGCTGGCTGGATCTCCGATTAAGGGTGCTTTATTATATACAGCCTGGTCTTACTCTTGTTGAGAATGCCAGGAAAAAGAAGTTGTGGGGATATGCCAAGGAACTCCTTGGGAAACGATCACAGTCAGTACACTAAACGTTACCCTAATCTCAGCCGCTAATCACCAATTTAGCGGTTAATTAATGCCGGAACCGGGGATTCCCCCTGGCCGGGGCTTGAGTCCATAAACAGAACGTAGCTCTCTTCGGGACTCCTTGCTTGCTCCTCTTCTTTCTCTCTCTCTCTCTCTCTCTCTCTAAGTCCCCACCGCCTCGGAGCCGTGACTTGTCGCCGCTTCCCTGCTCCGTGCTCGTGACTCACCCCTGGAGCCTATTTCTCTGGTGAGTGTCAGCTTTCCAGGTGCTGCGATCCCATCTTCCAGTCGCAGGAGGGGAGTGGAGTGGAGGGGAGTTTCACTCCCTGTTGTAGCCTCTCAGCCTAGCCGTATGGGACTCCTCTTCTTTACTCCGTGTGTGCCTGAAAGCACTCTTGGGAAATTTCCTCCATCTCTTATTTCTCCTTCTGGGTTCTCATTGGCTCCCCATGACGTTGCGTTTCCCATTTCCCGGATGTTTTAATCTTCGGCAGCTGTTACCCCTTCTTAGTAACAGGGTCGCAGCCACGACTCTGTTACACACCTTCCCCTCCAGTTACATAGTCCACCCACTCCATGGTGTTGTCCGACACACTCAGCCCCCCCCCCCCCCTTTTTTTTTTTCCCCCCCCCAAGTCTCTCTGAAAATGTTTGTATCAACTAAGGTGGGTCGTCCCTTCCCCCCCCAATTCTTTCTGAAAAGGATCCCACAATAACAATGACGAAAAAAAAATCCTTTCTACCTCTATGTTATCCTGTGCTCATCTTTTTTTCCAATGCATCTTGCTCCCGTTTGGAGACCCGGACTTGGTGCATGACTTTCCGGTGTCCTGCTTAGTCGTTGCTGCATCTTTACCCGGACCATACCTGGACGTGATAGGAGATCTACATTTCCACTTCTTTTCCCTGCTCGGTGTTCCACTGAAAAGAAAAAAGGTTGTAAGGCCAGAGACTACCTCATAAGTCTTGTATTATTTAGTTGGGCTGTTCTTAACCACCGCAGGGGTGTGTGATCTGTAATAAGCACGAACCTCCTGCCTAATAGATAATATTGGAATAACTCTATACCCCAGCGGACCGCTAGGCATTCCCTTTCTATAGTAGAGTAACAGGTCTCTGCCGGTTTTAGTTTCCGGCTGGCAAAAGCTACTGACCTCTCTATTCCTTGGTCTTTCTGGAATAATAATAGCCTCCAGTGCTACTGCCAATGCATCGGTCTGGAGAAAGAAGGTTTTCCGAAAATCCAGGGTGTACAGGACGGGATGTTGGGCTAATGCTTCCTTCAATTGGTTGAAGGCTTTTATAGCCCCTGGGTTCCAGGCTATCGGGTTTCATATCCCCTTCGTCAACTCGGTTAGAGGTGCTTCCTTCTCCGAAAAGTCAGGGATGAACTGCTGATAATAGTTGGCGAATCCCAGTAATGATCTGAGTTGTTTTAACATTTTAGGGGAAGGTTGTTGTTTTATGGCCACCACTTTTTCTGTTATGGGTTTTATGGTTCCTTGGCCAACTATAAACCCCAGGTACTGCGTTTCCCTCTTCCCCAACGCACACTTTCGTGGGTTTGCCGTCAGACCTGCCTGTCGGAGGCTGCCCAGCACTTGTCTTAGGTGTTCGCAGTGTGTCTCCCAACTGGGGGAGAATATAATAATATCGTCAATATAGGCCACGGCATATCCTTGGTGTGGGGCCAGTAGTTGTTCCATTAGTCATTGGAAGGATGCAGCTGCTCCATGTAATCCAAACTGCATTCTTCTAAATTGGAAGAGCCCCCATGGGGTCCCAAACACCATTTTCTCTGTCTTCTTCAGCCATTGGGATCTGCCAGTAACCCTTCGTGAGGTCCAAGGTGGATATAAACCGGGCTTGACCAATTTTCTTAAGCATGTCATCTATCTGAGGCATCAGGAAAGCATCGAATCTAGCCATCTCATTTAGCTTTCGGTAATCCACGCACAATCTGATAGAGCCGTCTGGTTTAGGTACTACTACTACTACCACTACTACTATCGGGCTTCTCCAGGGACTCTGGGACTCTTCAATTATTCCTCATTTCTTCATTTGGTCAATCTCCTGCCGGACCACCGGCCACAAGTGTCGTGGTAACTTCCGCCAATGATCTCTAATTATTCTTCCGGGGGGGGGGGTGACAATATGGTGACAGATCCCTTTTGCTTCCCCTGGCACTTCCTTAAACACATCTTGAAACTCGGAGATTAGGGCTTTCACTTCTGCCTGTTGTCTTAAATCTAATTGGTCGTCTACTTGGGGTACCTCCAGGGCCCCCATCAGGCTTCGTACTGTAGTAGCCTCTTCCTCTTCCCCCTCTTCCTCCAGTTTCACCAACCATCCCTCCCCTTGTCACCATTTCCTCAGGAGGTTAATGTGGTATACTTGCCTATGCCACGTAGGGGTTGTATGCAATACCTCATAGTTCACAAGTCCCATCCGTTTGGTTACTTGAAAGGGTCCTTGCCATTGAGTTGTCAGCTTGTGAGTACTATCTGGAAGTAATACCACCACCCAATCCCCTACCTGTAATTCTCTCTCAATGGCCTGTGCATCGTACTGTTGCTGTTGTCTCTCTTGACTCTGGCTGAGGTGTCTCTGTGCGATCTCTAGTGCTTTCTGCAATCTCTCTCTGAACTCTCCTATCACCCGGGTTTGAGAATCATCCCTCTGGGTTTGTGTCCGTTCTTTGCATATTAGGTCAAGTAGGCCCCGGGGGCTATGTTCGTGAACTAGTTCAAATGGGGCAAACCCCGTTGAGGCCTGTGGAGCTTCCCTTATGGCAAATAGTAATGGGGGTAACAGCGCGTCTCACTCTCGTGGATCCCCCTGAATACATGCCTTAAGCATTCCCTTGAGTGTACGATTAAACCGCTCCACTAACCCATCCGTTTGTGGGTGGTATACAGTTGTGCATAGTTGTTCTATTTTTAGGACCTTGCACACCCTTTTCAAGATTTTAGACAAAGTTTTTTCCTTGATCAGTTAGTATCTCACGGGGTATTCCCACCCAGGCTATCCATCAGAGTAGGGCTGTTACTATGGCTAGAGCAGTCACGGATCTTAGTGGAACGCTGGAAACCTTGTGGCATAATCAATGATTACTAATATAAACTGGTACCCGGTCTTACTACATGAGAGAGGCCCAGCATTATCCAAGGCTATGTGATCAAATGGCCGGGCAATCAAGGGCATAGGGACCAATGGCACTCTGGCTGGTTCCCCTCCCCCCCTGTCTTCTGACATTCTGGACACTCCACACAAAATGTTTCTGTCATTTTATAAATGCCAGGCCAAAAGACCCGACGTTTGAAATGGGCCTCCGTCTTATCGTGTCCCAGATGCACCCCCATGGGTAAGGTATGGGCAACCCATAGTAAGCCCTCCCAGTATCTTCGGGGTACCAGTACCTGGGCTTTTTCACCTCCCTCTTCTAGGTCTTCTACTCTGTAGAGTAGACCCCTCCTTACCTCGTATCATGGGTTCCAAGGTGGTTTCGGCGTTGGTCCCATCGCGTGCTTTGATTCTTCCAACTGGGTTTTCCACAGGTTCTGGAACAAGGGCTCCCGTCACTGTTCCTGAGGGAAATTCCCACCTTCTATCATCTGGTTAATATCTAGCTCTTCCTCCTCATCCCCAAAGCAAAGCATCTGGGGTTTCCTTGCCTTGGTCCCAGGGCTGTCTATCATCTGCTGGCGGACCACCTCTTCCAGGTGTGGCCAATGCAACCCTAGCAGCATCGGGCAGGGGAGAGTCTTAGTTAGCCCTACCAAAATCTCTTTTGTTTTCCCCAATACGGAGAGCTACAGTTTCCTTCTCGGGTAGATGTATACGGTTCGATGCATACAGACCATGGAGACTGGGGTACCCGGGACCCCTAAGTGTGAGGGCACCAAATCACTATGTACCATGGACTGGGAGCATCCCATGTCTATTATAGCCGGAATGATGGTATTGCCTATGTGGACCGCCACTACAGGTTTGTTCTTCTGGCCTGGTCCTTGGTGTCGTCCAAAGCTGCAGTCCATTTTTTTGTCGTGTCCCTCAACCATGGGAGACGAATCCCAGGTAGCTCTGGGGCAAAACCAGGATATATGGCCCCTTTCTCTGCATTGATAGCAGACTACCTCCTGGTAGCTTCCCGGGCGTCCCTCCTTGTGGGCCATCTCCACCCTTCTAGAGGGAGCTGCTGGGTTGCTTGTTCTGTGTGTGGAAGATGGTCCCCCACCTCTCTCTCTTTTGGGGTTCTCTCCTTCCCCTTTGGCTATGGTATAATCTTCTGCCAGATAGAGTGCCTCCTCCACTGTTTTTGGTTGGTGGCGTTGGACCCATCATTGTGTACTGCCCGTAAGGTCTGTAAGAAATTGTTCCAGTACTATCTTGTCTACCACCTCCTTCACAGTATGTTCCTCCGGCTGTAACCACCGCTCCGTGAGAACCCTGAGAGCCTGCACCAAGAGTCAGGGCCGGCTGTACTCGGGTCCTTTCTTGGCCCTGAATTTGTGCCGGTATGTTTCCGGCGAAGTTTCTAATCGATATAGGATGGCTGCTTTTACCTTGGAATAGTCACTGGCCTCTGTCCGATTAGAAGCTTGGTATGCAGCCTGCATGGGGCCGATAATGAGTGGTCCCAACTTAGCAGTCCAGCTCCCTGGATCCCACTTCATGGCCATCGCTGCCCGTTCGAATGCCTCGAGGTAGGCTTCCACATCATCTTCCCCTGTCATCTGGGGAAGGCCTGTCCCACCTCCTTCTCTTACCCTGGGCGTTTGTTGCACCGCGAGCTTCTCACAGAGGTCTTGCTGCCTCGCCCACAGTTGTATCTGGGCTTCTGCCTCCTGGGTCCTGAACCTCATCATTTCCTCTAGCTGAGCCTGCTGGCCCTGGAGGAGGCGCAAGGTGAGGCTATGGGCCTGCTGCCAATTTGTAGGCTCTTGACTGTCCACGGCATCTGTTCAGTCCTCCACGTTTTCCTGGCCAATGCACCACTTTGTCAGCGTGTCTGTCCTGGGGACCTGCTTTTCCCTGCAATTCTCACCTGCCGTGACTTGATCTTAATACAAAATTTTGGGGAGGAAGAGTTGTTACACACCAGTACCTGCGGTAAGGAACGCGCTGGCTGGATCTCTGATTAAGGTTGCTTTATTATCTACAGCCTGGTCTTACTCTTGTTGAGAACGCCAGGAAAAAGAAGTCGTGGGGATATGCCAAGGAACCCCTTGGGAAACGATCACAGTCAGTACACTAAACGTTACCCTAATCTCAGCTGCTAATCACCAATTTAGCGGTTAATTAATGCCGGAACCGGGGATTCCCCCTGGCCACGGCTTGAGTCTGTAAACAGAACATAGCTCTCTCCAGGACTCCTTGCTTGCTCCTCTTCTCTCTCTCTCTCTCTCTCTCTCTGTAAGTCTCCACCACCTTGGAGCCGTGACTTGTCGCCGCTTCCCTGCTCCGTGCTCGTGACTCACCCCTGGAGCCTGTTTCTCAGGTGAGTGTCAGCTTCCTAAGCGCTGCGATCCCGTCTTCCAGTTGCGGGAGGGGAGGGGAGGGGAGTTTCAATCCCTGTCGTAGCCTCGCTGTATGAGACTCCTCGCCTCCGCTTCTTCACTCCATGCATGCCCGAAGGCACCCTTGGGAAATTTCCTCCGTCTCTTATTTCTCCTTCTGGGTTCTCATTGGCTCCCCGCGGTGTTGTGTTTCCCATTTCCCGGATGTTTTAATCTTCGGCAGCTGTTACCCCTTCTTAGTAACAGGGTCGCAGCTGTGACTCTGTTACATTAATAAATGGTATATGCTATTTAGACTGTCTCCAATGGGAGTACTGGTATGCCTAAAGTTAAGTACATTTGTTAATCTTTATAATTTGGGGGCCCAAGTTTGTGAATTGATAATGATCCTCACTCTTTAAAAAAAAAAAAAAAAAAAAGAGTTCTGAGATAATTTCATCAGACACCCAATTTATCAAAAACTAAGATGAATATAGTTGCAAATATTAAACTTTACTATGTCTCACCAGCAGTATGGAAATGGGAAAGGAGATGAGTAGGAATCGGCTATAATATCAACTGTAATACTGTAAGAATCAGCTGTAATCCTGAGTATGTAATATGATCACAGTACAGCCTGAAGAAGATCCTTGAAATAATAAACAGGTATTTGAGGTTGTGGAAACTAAGGGGCCAATTTTCCAGTTACCCAAACACTCATACCTTCCAATTTCAGTGAGAGAGTGAAAGAAATCATCACTTTGCTGGTCAAGGTCCTAACGCTATATTAAATATTATTTAAATCATGCTTTTAATAAAAAATATCACATTGGGAGTTTCCAGATCAAGAGCAGAGTTTTGGCTTGAGTCTCACTTCTGAAAACCTGAAAGCATTTTGTCTGTAAGCAAAACATATCCCACTTCCCTTTTTTATCACGGTTATGAAATCAGCTTCCAAACCACAGTTGAACTTCTTAATTTCCTGTTTTAGGATAAACTTTTAAAAGTATATTTGTATACTTATATATGTTTATATTTACTAAGTTTCCTCTCCTCCTTTTTTTTAATCATTCTGGACACCACTACCAAACTCCTGTTACAAGTTTGTAATCTGGGCATAATCTGGTACAGTCCTGTTCTAGATCATGACATATATCATGTATAAATTTTGCCAATTCTTTCCTCATACCATTTCTAAAATATAGTCTCTCTTACCTACCTATGCCACTAGAAATTTTAATGCCAGCTCCCAGCATTTTGCATGTTGCAGGCCCAGGGTTTCTGCTCAGCTGCCACTCTCCTTATCTCTTCTTCTGTAACAACAACTGGAGTCTCCAGAATCCCCCTCCCTCTTCCAGCTTGTTTCCTGTCTGTGTCCTAGGGAACCGGTGCAGCATGCACAGTGCAGTGGTTGGAGGGAAATGGTGGGGGGCCACATGGATATGCAATGTAGTAAGGGGGCAGATATGTAGTACAGGTGGGAGTGGGGGGCGCACAGAACAGGGGGGCCTATAGCTTTCACATATGGCCCCCACTGATGTGGCCTGATGAGCATGCTGCCCCTAGCCACTTAGAAATTGGACAGCCCTGTTTTGGCTTATGCTGAAGTTGAAACTCCTTGGGGAAAAACTGACTTCATGTTTTGTTTGTACCACAACCAGATCAACTGAGACCAGGTTCACAACTGGGGTTTTAAGTCCTGCTGCAATGCAAGTAATATACTTTGAGTTTTAGGAGAATGGTCTTGAATTAATTTATTACAAAGAGAGAGCAGCAGATATCAAAATTCTCATGTCATATAGAATAACCATAGTTGAGGAATTCGGAAGTGAGCTAAATATAAGGAATTCAGATCCAGCCTCCCAGAGATGGTATTGGAGCAGGCTGAAAGAGATTGGTGCTGAAAGAGATTAATAATGTGCCTTCTCCCTCAAAGTCATTGTTTGAAATGGGCCCAGGTGGTGATGACCAAGGATTCTGGTTTTCTCTGATTAAAAATAAACCCCCAATTTTCAGATTAAAAAAGTAACCCCAAATCCGCATTTTTCCATGATTAAAATGAAACGCGCATGTAATATATATTAATTGTTACTGCGCAGTCATTTAGTATTTGCATGTACAAGTAATAAATGACTGCTCAGTAACAGGAGTTACTGTGCAGTAATGTCCCCAAATGGCTCTTAGGTGACACTGAATGTGCAGTAGCTCATTACTACTGTGCAGTAGCATCACATCTTGCTTCATGACATGTGACGCTACTGCAAAGTAGTAATGAGCTACTGCACAGTCAGTGTCTCATCCAGACGTGGCCACTATGATGTGCATTTAAGTAAATAAAACATTCTAGTTATACTTTGGCTCCCTTTGCTTCCCATTATTCTTCCAGTAATCACTTTTAACAGTCCATTCTTT